AATCAATTATCACACAAAAGAAATAAATGCATATCATAATAATTAAGGAATGAAAAATAAAAACGTTGTTTTTAGTTTTATCCTAGATTACTGTTGATGAGATCTGTGAATTTTTAAGTTATTAGTGTAACTAGTGAAAAACTGTAGAGGTCTCAGCCCCATTGGCCATGCCTTTAGGTCGGATAAATCTTCTGAAAGTGTTTCTAGAGAAGACACAAGCGCTGTTTTAAGCAAAACTTAGCTACTAGTGTTGGAGGATGGGGAAGTTCTCTCTAGTTTTCGTAGTATGTTCTCGAAACGACTTTTCTCAATTTCTATTTCCCTTTCTCCTAATGCTTTCAGAAATTCTATTAAGATTTCATTTTCATGTTTGAGAAAAACTATCATTATCAGACACTAACCTCCATCACAATATCGCATTTGACTCAACAAGAGATGGTCTTGAATTAAAAAAAAAATCTATCATTCAAGATAAATTTTAGTATAATAAATCAATTATTATTAATACGTCAAAATTTAACAGCGTTATATTAAGAGAATAATTTTCTATATCAATTGGACAATTGAAAAAAGAAGAAAATATTAGCCCGTCAACGATGTTGATAAAAAAGAAAAAGAAAACATTCAAGCGGAGAAGATAATAATAATGCTACAGTGCGAGATAATTTCAATAATAGTACTTTCGAAGATAATAATAACAAAGAAAATAAAAGTTGCGATAATTGAATTACAATTGAATGAATAATGAATAAATTTGCCTAATTTTTTTTTATTTTGAATATTTTATTGATGACAATTTTTAATACTTGTTGTTATTGAACATTTTTTATTTGTGAATAACGAAATGTTGAATCTGTTGATTGAATTTCATCAATCAGTGATGATGAAGAATTTGATGATTTTGTTACAACATTACGACAATGAATAAGATTTGTAAAAAAGATACAAAAACATGTGGAATTATTATTGTCAGCATTTATTATTTTAAAAATATGAGCAAATAACAATATATACCAATGTAATTAATCAATCCTAATAAAGTATTATTCAATAAATTAAAAGACGATCAAATAATACATTAGCGAACTATTCATCTAACTATTTTAGTTAAATAAAAGAGATCATATAAATATGTTTTCGTTCACGAATAGAGATGTGTAGCATTGAAATCTGAAGATTTTCTTGGACCAGGCGGTGATCGAGCCACCAGTTAAAAAATTTACCGATATCTTAACTAGGACAACAGAAACGAGAATTTGTCAAAAATCAGGATTGAGACCAAAAGAAATTCGTCCAGCACATCATTAGATGGAAGCACAACAACGAGAAAAAAAGTTATCCGAATCGAAACCAAAGGTTATAATAAAATGTCGTATAATTTTAAGCGAATCATCTTATAAATCATATTAGTCAATATATAATTCAAGAGAAATAACAATAAAAATACTTTTTATCGACTTAAAAAATAGAAAGACGAGTATTTGAGAATTGTTTTAGATGTTATACAAATACTTTCTCAAATTGTTTTATCTTGAATGAAACCATTGAAAAACAGAAGTTACTGGAAGTGAAAAAAAAACAAATTTGGTTCCCCATATATCTATTCATGAATAAATTGATTTTATTTGAATAAACAACAAGTATTAACAGTATTGAGAATAGATTTAATGATTATATTTTGATTTGTAACTTATAAAGATTTTTGCATAAGTTTTCAAATATAAATACGTTTAAAAATTATGTAGATACTGATTGAACCATGAATTGAACATATTTATTTTTTGTTTTTAAATCTTTAAGCAATAATTGATGAGTTTTTTAAAATGAACAGAATTTCAAAATCTTTTTTAAGAATTGCATTGAATAAAATCATTATTTATCAATAAACATTGGATAATTATTGTTTTTCAAAATGTCAACTGACATGTGCAAAATTTGAATTAGTCTGAAAAAGAAAATAATTCTACAGGTTGATTACGTTATTTTTAATAGTTTTGTGTAGTTTGCTGTATTTACATAGAATAGTGGAAGTTTCGTATTTTAACACAGTTGGATAGAGCATCGACTACTCTTTCGCACCATATCATTTACATTTTATTTTCTCTGATTTTAGACCGAAAAATTGGTATATGTCAAGAAGCTGTGAAAAAAAATTTTTAAAGCTTGTTAACGTTATTTTTAATAGTTATTTTTCTCATATATATAAACAAAAACAAAGTACAATTATGAACGACGTTTGATATGAGAGCCTTGAACTATCTATAGAAAAGTTAGTCTATATCGACTTTTAGCGCTATCAGCCGATTGCCAAAAAAATACAGGTTGATGGCGTTATTTGTAATAGTTTTATATAGCTTGTTGTATTCATGTAAAACATCGAAAGTTTCTTATTTTGATACAATTAGATAGCGCATTGACTGCTCTATCGAACCATATGGTTTACATTTTATCTCTTTTGGTTCTAGTCCAAAAAATTGATAAATCTCAAAAGCAGTCGAAAAATTTTTTTTTTAAGGAAATAAGTTTCAGATGACAGCTAGGAGTGGATAAATAGCCATGTTTTGTATCTTTTTGGATGTTTTATTAAAAACAAAATATACCAGAAGATGCAGCATGAAAAGCTCTACAATTTACATAAGACCGCTTGTTTTATACTTTTAATTTTTGTTTTCAAAATGGGCAAAATTTTGAGCGTCCAAACTTCGACCGTGCGAAAATTCGTTCGACAGCATGTTTTCTTTTAATTTTTTTAAAACAATTTCAATAAGCTTTACGGTCTAGATTGTAGAACTTTTCACGCTGCATCTTTTGGTATATATAGCTTTTTTTACGAAGATATATTAGGTGATACAAACATGGAATTAAATAAACGAACATTTGTTCGTGTAAAAAAAATGATTTTTTTTGCGATGGCGAAAGTTGGTCGCACCGGATTTTGCTTTTCTGAACATAAAAGGTGTACAATTAAAATAAGGTTTACTATGTAGATTGTAGAGCTTTTCATGCTGCATCTTCCGGTATATTTTGCTTTTAATAAAAATGGAAAAAGACACAAAACATGACTATTTATCCACTCCTAGCCGGCATCTGAAACTTACTTCCTTAAAAAATTTTTTTTCGCAGCTTTTTGAGATATACCAATTCTTTGGTCTAGAGTCAGAGAAAATAAAATGTAAATGATATGGTTCGATAGAATAGTCGATGCTCTATCCAACTGTGTTAAAATACGAAACATCCACTATTCTACGTAAATACAGCAAACTACACAAAACTATTAGAAATAACGTAATCAACCTGTAAATAACGACTTCTGCTTATCGATTTTTTTCGAATTTAATCTAAGGAACTATTGAATTTTTGAAAAAAATATGTAAAAATCAGATATGAGCATAAGACATAAATTATAGTTTCACTCTGTCCTATGTTCATTTCTAAACCACACCCATACACATTGAATATATTGCAAATAGTGATTGAGACAGCCTGTAGAGCAAAGCACAAATTTGAGATAAATAATATTTTTCGGATCTGTTATTTGAGTTATTTTTACATGAATATTTTTATTCTAGAGACGACGACTTTTAGAGACTTTTAGTATTTTCTTTTCATTCTTGAGCAAGCATAGGAAAATGTTGCGTGTACGAATTGATCTAGAATTGAATGGGCTACATTTCAATAAAAAGTGCTTTTGAAAAATCACTAGTAGTAGTTCTCATATGTGAATTACAATAAAATGGTAATGATTTTAATAAACAAAGTTTTAGCGCAATCCTTGCGAGATTCAAATATGAAACTTGTTGTAGCTGTTTTTACTAATCACAGGGAGATCGATTTATTCTATCTATTAAGGAACACGTTTCTTTGTCATCATTTTTAGTTAATCCTCTAGAAATGTAATTACGAAGTAGTTCATATTATTAATTATAGAGATGCATTACTGATACATAGTCTTTGATGATATATCAACAAGATTTACATTCTTCAAAAATATAATCAGTTTTGTGTTACAATCATTTCGACGAAAGACTATTTTTCGTCGAAATGATTGTAACATTTTTTAGCATTTTTGGTTGACACAGTTGGTCCAATTAGTAACATTGTTTTCCAATAATGTTCGACAAAAGTAACGAGTCGATACCACCTAACAAACTCTAGAAATAGAAATTTTGAGTCGACTACAGTTTTGTATTTGCTTTTTTTTTCGTAAATAGAAATCTGAGTTCCTTAAGTCTTCTTCTAAGAAAATTTTTGATTTTAGATTTCAAAAAGAAAGAAGGTAACTAGTTCTTTTGAATAGCCATAGGTATGGAACATGTAAGATATAGGCAGGATAAGAAGAGGGAAGGGCGATTATAAACAAATGATGCTTTTCGAAAATCATATGAGGTAAAGTTAAGTTACGTTTCACTCGTTTATGTTGTGAAAAATTGAAAAAAAAATTTCAAAAGGAGATAATTGTTCCTTCAGCTTCTTCTCATAGTAGCCTCCTCAATTGGAGCATTGTATTTCTATCAATGGTGAACAGTAATTTTCGCTTAATGTTTTTTTTTTGTAGGAGAGACTGGAGGAGAAGATGATTGTTTGTCAGCTATTTTTCGTAGAAAATCTTGGTGGGCTCAGTTTACCGTAGAGTAAAATTGTAGTGCCATCACTACGTTGACTCCGTGACAATATTTTTTCTCTACTAATCAAGATCTACCTCTCGTGAAAATTTCAAAGACTTCTGATAAGCTATTGTCCAAAACCTCCAGAAAATCGGGAAGGGCAGAAGGGGACAGATACAATTTATGGACGATGATGACATTTGAATATTATCTTAGTTTGGTGAAACTTTTTTTCTTTTAATGTATATTATCATTGACAACTAGCGACAACTATTTGTGAATCAATTTTCCATTCATTTTCTCATTGGTTTCACATGTATTAAAAGAAGAAAAAAATTGATACAATATTCGTCCATAACATAATCGAAAATCATATTCAAATTTGTTCGATAGAAGATGTTCCCTACTCGTACCTATTATAGACCATTATCTAGATTTGATATTTATAAAGTATGATCATTTCAAATTTTCAAAATATATTTAGATACTTTGTTTTAGTTAGCATTAATTGATGAATCAACAATTGAATATCAGCGATCAGCATGGGAACGTTTAAAAAAAAGTATTAATAGTAAAATAAATAAAGTTAATACCTCAAATTTACCATCAATTATTCGTGAATTATTTAATAATAATATTATTCGCGGTCGTGGTTTACTTGCTCATAATATTATTCGAGCACAAATAGCATCACCATTTTATACTCCTGTTTATGCTGCATTAGTATCTGTTATTAATACAATATTACCAGAAATCGGTGAATTAATTGCTAAACATCTTATATCATCATTTCATCATACATATGAACAAAATGATAAAATTAATTGTTTATCAACAATAAAATTTATTGGACATTTTATTAATCAAAATATTGTATGTATTTTTCGAAAAACAACAAAAAAATTTCTAGTATTTCTTTTCTTTTATTTAGTTACATAGTCTAGTAGCATTAGAAATGCTTGTAGTTTTACTTGAAAATCCGACTGATGATAGTGTTGAATTAGCTATTGAATTTTTAAACATATGTGTAGAAAAATTATCACAAGTTAGTTTACATGGATTAGATTCTGTATTTTCAACATTAAACAATTTACTTAATGAATCATCATTAAATGAATGTACACTACATATAATTGAAGTTTTATTTGCTATACGAAAAGATCAATTTAAAGTAAATCCGATGATACAACCTGGTCTTGATTTAGTTGATGAAAGTGATCAACATACACATATAATTACATTAGATGATCCATGTGAACCTGAACCAATGCTTAGTAAGATACACTTTTCAATAAGATATTTTACTTTATTTTTCTCTTATTTAGATATATTTCGATATGATGACCAATATGAAGAAAATGAAAATGAATATGAAGAATTTCGAAGAAAAATTATTAGTGAGAGTTATGGTGATAAACAAGGTAATGGAAAAAAAAGAAGAACAAGAAAGTGATGTAGCCTGGGGTCCGATTCGTCCTATAATTACTATATTTTGTCGAAAAAAAGTCAGAAAATCTGTGATCTTCATCGTACAGAATATTTACTCATTATCAGACAAGACATTTTCAATGAGTAATCATATTTTTTCGATGTTTAGTCGTACCATAGTTGCATTCATTCTAAATAAACAACTAATTTTTCTTTTTCATCTGGAAAATTTATTGAATGAATAATAGCTAAAGAATATTATACTAAATATTCAAATTGAGCAAGCTAATATTACAAAATGATCATATACTTTATGAAACTACTTTTTATTCCTGTTTCATATATGTATGCGTATGTAAAGCATATAAATAGATATTGGTTGCACAAATGAATTATTTTTATTATTCAAATTTAACTATGAAAAATAACGTTTTGTCGAGAAATAATTGTGCTGTTAGTATTTTTAAAATCTCTCCTCTTTTGTGAACTTTATTGGACTGTCTTCTTTACCAAAAGAGTTCCCATTCAATTTTCTATAAAAAGTATATTGAATGTTTTATTGGGAAATTCGAAGGGGTAACATGCCATGAGAAATTTGGAGATATACCAAAATGGAGGAAAAAGTAAATGACGATAAGCTGAAAAATAGGTCTTTTTTTGAGGATTTTTTGCTAAAAGTTTATGAGACAGAAAAATTTCCGTAGTCACCGTATACGCCTTGATGAGCTATAGTTTTCCTCTATAATTAAGAAAGAATCCTTGTTAGAATGGAGCATGTAAAGATTTTATTCTTTTTTGTCACTTTTTCAAAAAATGACAAGTTTTTTAATCAATAACTTAATCCCACCAATAAAGTAAATAAACCTTATTCAAACTTGATTCAATTAGGTTGCATTTTTTATTTACTTTGATAATCAAGATCTAGTTGTACTAGGTGGAAAATAATATTTTGCCAGGGGGATACCGCTATAATTGCAAATAGAAGACAATGAGTTTTATATCAAATAAAAGCTCGTCAAAAATGGGGTTTATTGATATTAAATAGTGAGGATTATGAAAACTTTTTAACATTGAACTTGAGAAACTTTAAGAAATTTTATACTTTTTTTGGGGTGAGAAAGTAAAGTGCCAGTAATTGAAAAATGGATTAAAATGTTTTTCTTGGATATTTTTGCATGATTTGATAGAGCTCGTCGAGCTCTATGAAATTGTATATATTAAAAATTTTTTGAGTGATTTTTTATGGTAAAAAATTCAAAAAACTATTTGGAAAATCTTAAAAAACGTTTAAAAAGTCATATTTTTGATATGGAAGAAAAACACTAGAATTTTTAAAAAAATTTGCTTTTTTTTGATTATTTTTCCTCAGGTGTTTCGAAATANAGTTTTCTTAGTTGTAGCAATAACCGTACCAATAGTTCATGTAGTGATCCCGTAACCATACCTATGGTAATTGTCATCGTTGCATCACTAACATTAATAACGATAGTCGAAGCTATACTCCTTACTAGACGGCACTATAACGCATAAAGCGTTTCTTTCATACTTGATTACCGTGATTCTATTAAGAAAAGGACCAGTGGAACCATGACAACTTATGCCAAACTCCGATGTAACAGCATCAGTGATAGATGCAAGTATGCAGGTGTCTGAAAAATGGTCAAAATCGACCCTATTAGTGGGCTCCTAATATTCTAACCTGCCATGTTCGCCTTAAACTCTAGGATTGAAACCGTATTCTTGATTTGAGAATGTAGTCGTATACGAGACACTTTTATGCACGAATATAATCATCATGCTAACGAGGTGGTCCGTATAAAAATAAAAGCCTACGGTGGTGGCTGCTAGACGGACATTATCTGTTATCTTGACCCTCAACTAGTCCATAAAATTCTTTGAATCGGCCATAACGATAGGTTTTCGCTCTCTAACTTCCATTGTTAGCTTTCATGTTGATGGTCAAAACTGTATAGCCGAGTGGAGGAATTATACCATCCCCAATCTTCCTTTTGTCCAACTGGCGAATATTAACTAGCTTTTCGCCAATTGGCGAATATACTAACGAAAAATGATCTGGGTGTAGGTGACCGGGTGTGGATGTGGGTGTAGGTGCGAGTCTGGATGTTGTATATGTGCTTGACCTATACTCATACCCACGTCCACACACCCACATCGTGTAATACTTAAATATTTTATCATCCATTTAGTTGAGTCAAAATTCTACGGATTAAAATTGGCGAATTATCCATGACATTCGCCCATTGGCGAAAATACTAAGGCAAAAATAAATATTTTTTGACGAATTTCATACTAGAGATCCGCCAATAGACGAATGTCGTGGGAAAATTGTCACTAGTGAGCGTACTGTTGGCGAAATTTCGAATAGGTGAACTTACAGAGCCAGCTGCGTGTACGACAAGACTGATAATGAAAAATCTTTTCCAAGATATGCATGGCTACAAAGCTAATAATAGAATCAATAGGGTGACGA